GGGACTCTATCCCAGCTTGCCCGGTCATGTCTGGGGCAGGCGGATGCTGGCCCTGACTTAACCCTCCCTGCAGCTGGGGCAGGCAGGGCAGCCGGGGGTAAGAAGGGGGCACAGGCAGCCCCCCCACACACAGCACAAGGCTCTCTCAGAAGTCCCTGCAGAGCAGAGCCAGCTCCCGGGTACAACCAGCCCCTTTATCCCTGTCCCACCAGGCTGTGCACAGTTAACCCTCCCGGCACCGAGCCAGCCCTGCTCCCACCCTGCTCCGTGGGGCACGAGCTGACCCCCACCACAGCTTTGGGGGTGCCAAGGTGCCGCCTGGCACCTGCCTGGCTTCAAGAACCACGCTTATTTTCCCCTTGGTACGTACCCCCTGGAACGTGGGGGTGCTGGCACGACCCCTGGCACAGCCAGGCACTCACTGGGGCTCTCTCTTCTCCTCTCCCACCCAGGCTGTGCCCGTGCCGGACTCAACTATCCCACCGGAGCTACGTACCGGGAGAACTGCAACCTGTGGTGAGTGAGCAGCTCTGGCTCCCCATGCCATGCGGGCACCTGTGGCGTGCCACCTGCCTGGAGGAAGGTGCCAGAATCCCGTGGGCACCTCTGGCACGGCATGGGCACTCTTCCTGCTCGGAGGAAGGCGCTGGGGTCCCGTGGGGTCCTGCAGTCAGCGGGGCTCGGCGGAGCGCGGGGCCCGAGCTGGGTGGTGGGAGCTGGTGCCAAATGCCTTTGTTCTGGCATTTTCGGAGCCAAGAGCCCAGGGCCTTGAGCCGCTCCCAAGTTCCAGCGCATGCCTGCGTGGGAGCCCTCGCTCTGCTCCGCTGGGATAACGCACGGCCGGGCCGGCTGTGGGCTCCTGATGTGCTGCCGGGGGGGTTTTGGCCACGCTGGTCCGAGCCCGACTTGCCCAAGCCTGACGGGACGCGCCGGCAGCCGCGGCCGTGCCGTGCCAGCGGCCAGAGTCCGGCTCTGCCGCCTTCTCGGGAGCCCCAGGAGCTCGCTGCTGCTCGAGCAGCGGGGGGTTTATCTGGGAACGCTGGAATTACTGGCATCCGGAGGTGGGGGATAGGGGAACCTGCAGGCGCAGAGCTGCCGGAGACAGGGAGCGAGCCCGGCGGGGCGATGCGGCAGATAAGGGCAATCAAAGGCTGCGTCTGGGGCGTGTGCAGGGCAGGAGCACGTGTGTGAGCATGTGTGTGCAGGCGTGTGCTGGGCTGCAGGTGAAAAGCCAGCCCGACCCTCCCCGAAGCTCTGGTGCTGCCTGGTGTTTCTTTGGGATCGTGGTGTGGCGGGACGTGGGGCT